TCTTGTATCACTTGATCTCCATGGCTGTTCAAACTTAGAGTGTTTCCCAGAAATATTAGAGACCATGGAATGTCTAGGCTGTCTTAAATTAAGGGGAACAGCCATAACAGTGTTATCCTCGACTATATTTCGGTTTGTCTCTTTGGAAATATTGGATCTATCTGGATCAGATATAGTGGAAATTCCTCAGAGTATCAAACAACTTTCTAATTTATATTCTCTAGTTTTAAAAGATTGTGGGAACCTCAGATCATTGCCAGAACTTCCACCATGTTTACAATATTTACTTGCAGAAAACTGCAGATCTTTAAAGAGAGTTCCCCAGTGGGAACATGCGCACTCTATGAAAGCTCGGATATTTGCATTGTATTGTCAATTTCAAGCCAATTGCTTTGTATTCAATAATTGCTTCAATCTAGACGGGGATGCAGTCAACAACATTGTGGCTAACGCACAGCTTAAAGCTCAATGTCGGTTTGCGATGGAATCTTCTGAAGTTGCTGATCTTGCTTATTGTAAGTGGTTCAGTTCTTGTTTCCCTGGAAGTAAAATTCCAAAGACATTCAAGAATCGGAGTAAAAATTCTTCAATAACTGTCAAGTTGGGTCCAGCTTGTTCTAGCAAAAGATTTTTGGGCTTTCTTCTATGCATTGTGGTTAATTTTAAGCGCCCTCATAAATTCAGTCAATACTATGTTGATTGCAAATGTCTATTAACAACCGAGCACCGTGACTGTGATCCTCTCGAATTTACTCATGATCGGCATTGGACTATCGCTTTCTCTCCAAGCTTTGATTCGAATCATGTGATCCTTTTTTGTAAAGGTTTTGGAAGTGAAATCAATGAATCCATAAACAAGCATTTTGATGAGGCCTCCATTGAATTCTCCGTTAGAGCTCAGGATTTTGATTCCAATATTGAGCATATCAAAGTGAAAAAATGTGGTGTCAATGTATTATATGAGGATGCTGCAGATCCAATGACAAAGAGGTTGTGTCCAGCACAAATTACAGAGCTAATGATGAGGAAGGCCTTGATGATCCTACGACTACAATGAGACCTAGGCACAAAAGACGTTTTAGCTCTGATGAAGATGAAGAACCAGAGCCTAAAAAACTGAAATAGTTTCGTTTCTTTTGAGGAGGTGCAAGTTCGCAAATTTATGATATTATTTAAAGTCCAGGCAATTCAGTTCCAAAGCTTTGGTAAGTCATACTGAGATTCAATTTGTCATCACTTTTAAATCTTGGTAATTTAGAAAAAAAAAAAAAAGAATACGAAATGCTTTCAACTTTGAATCTTTCAAATTTTCCTTCATGCTTTTCTTTCACATTTTGTTTCCGACCACTCTCTCATCATTCTATTTTCTCCTTTCATTTTTCTCAACTCACTATTGTATTTTTCTCCTCTGATTGAGAGATAATTTTGTTTTTCTTTTCAGAAATTTCCCTACTTTTTTTTTAATTTTTTTTTTAAATTTCGTTTTGGCTCTTAAAGTAATGTAAAGTATGGAAATATTGTGGTGTTTTGTTTTATTATTACCTAATTTTCTTTTTAGATAGTAGTTGATTTCTAATTTGCATGCACCTTCCCAAAATATTTATCTGAACCACTTGTGTGCGAAATTGCTTTTGCTTATAACCTGTGCATTATCTTGATCTAGGTTTCAGTTGGTGCTTTTCTTAGGATCCCTAAGAGCAGTTGGAATGTGAAAGCAAGGTCCCCTCTCCCATAAAAGGTTCTATTTTTTCCTATGTTCATTATGCATTTTAGAATTACGACAGTATTTTGCACATTTTCTGGAACTTTCATGAAAATTCAACCTTAACTTGATGTGACATTTTTGAACCTGCAGATTATGGATGTTTCAAGTGTCTCTGTCACCAGTAGAAAGGGTTTTCAGAGAAATATTGGGTTTTCAGAGAAATATTGGGTTTTCAATGTAATTTTTTTCCCTCAAATTAATTATGTGCTACCTTTTCAAGCTAAATTACAGAGTTTGACTTCAATATGATGTTATGAAGCTAGAGATTTGCATCCCTTTGCTACTTACTACATGCTATTGCTGCTGCCTCTGCAGTTGCAGATCATCAAGGTAAATGAGCTTCTATAACTAGTCGAAAGTGCAAGTTAACCTTTTGCTTTTTTTTTTTTTTTTTCAGAAAAATTATATGAAGCATAACATGAAATCTTTAACAATCATGTGGTCTTGAATCGTAATCAATTTCAGTGCTTTCTTAAAGCTACATCAGTGAAGTAGCAAGTTTATATCATCTGATAGTCAGGACTTTGTCGTTATGATCTCACAGTAGAAAAAATAGATCACACCTGCACCATTATTGAGAATTGGGAAAAATAAAAACAAAAACGAAAAAAAAAAAAAGGAAACTAGAGTTTTTTTTTTTTTTTTGCCAACAGAAGGTTATTTTAACATCTTTAAGGAAAGTTTGAAACTTATTTACCTAAATGGGATACTCATGCTATGTCTTTTTTTTTTTTTTGTTTTCCTTTTACATACAAAATACAAGGGATTACACTTTCTCTGCTTCGATGCTTTAACTCTCCTTCAATCAAATATCAGTGGCAAGTATGAAACGGAAAAATTTAGGTGGGTTCTTCATTTATGTGCTTCATCTCTCTTTTTCTTTTGGGGATTTGTTGTTGTCTTGAAATTAAATTCCCAAACTCGTCATCTATATGCTTAATTCCATCATAGTTTTGAATTATAGTTTTTGGCGTTTATGGTTTTGAATTATAGATTTTTGGGTTTATGTAGTAGAAACAGCAATAACTTGTGTGGACTTGGGTTTTATATTTAGGTTGAACTAATTTTGTTAAGCTTGTTAAATGGGGTAAGTGAACTTGAGTGTTGCTATAATTCCTATGTCAATTTGTTTGGGTGGAATTCATCAGTAGCTGGATTAGTGCAACCACCATTCTTTTGGGGATATGCATTGAGTGAATTGCCTGGAGTTTGCTAGCGAAGCTTTTTGGTGGGAGGTTAGTTTTTGAAGACTTTGGCTATTTAGGGCAAATGTGCTATCTTTCATATTTTCCTTGCTCGCAATGCATAACATAAAGTTGTCATTTCAAATTCCAAAAGGTAAAAGAGAAAGCAGATAATCTTATAATTTTACCCACAATTTAAGGTCTGCATTCAGAATTTAAGGAATATTTTTGCTATTCACAGGCATTAATGAGCTGCTACCATCTCTAGTTAGGATGATAAGTGAATTCTACGGTTTGGGTTACTTTTAAGGCTACACATTACTTGATTGTGTAAGCACATTAATTTGATGCCTTGTTGAAGGTGGCCAACTGTTTGGACTAGGTTTAGTTGGATATGGCAAATGCAGACTGAAACTAATTCTAGTGTAGTTGGTTTAATTAAATATGGAAAATGCACTGAATTTTAATTGTGCTAATAATACTAGCAGTTGGGTTGGTTGTGATGTTTGTTCCTATTGATGCTATGCCGCTTGTGGTATGCAGAGGAATCTTGTCAAGCCAAGTCATAGCTAAAGGGGCCATCTGGTACGACAGAAATGCAATTTCACTTCATCGGATGTGGTCATGCTTCAGCAACACTTGGGTTTATTAAGGATGTGTTTTTATGCTGTGCAAAGGACTGGGGTCCAGAAACACTAACAAAGGAGCTTGATTGTGTAAAGAAGATTTTCAGGGGCAGTGATGATTCAAAGGGCTAGGACCTGCATATCAAAGCTGATGAGCTATTTGCCCGGCTCGAAAATAAAATGATTCTGCTACAGATGTATGTAGCATCGTTATTCAGTTCTTCAATTGTAAGTATCTTTTATTCTGTCTATTTTTCCATGCAATATTATTGTCATTATGAAGCACATCAAACAAATTTCATGGAATAGAGATATATTGCATCATTATAAATGTTTTCGTAGTTTTTTCTTGGTGGCCTTGTTGTTGCATGCATTTATATTTTTCTTTTGATTACTAAGGATAATTTCTGTTCTAATATAACAGCGGTTTTTGTAACTTGCATGGCTCAAATGACTTATGAGTGGAGAGGAAGGGTTCCGTTTATATTATTAAGTACTAGTCTTAAAACTTTTACTTTTAAATATTTATGCTATTTATAGCGTTATAGTGTACAGCAGAAAATATGTGCAGTGAGTTGGAGAACATAGGAATATTATTAAAGGCATGTAAGATCAGCACATTAAAATGCCACCTTCCTTTTTGTCCTAATGAAAGGATAAATATCCCTAGCATTTCATAATCTCATGATGAAATCTCTTGTTGAATTGGAAGCCCTGTTCCTACTCTGCTTCACCATGCTTCAGAGGCCAGTAGAAAATAGTGTTTAGTAAACAAAGTAGGGGTAGTGTTTAGGTGTTTCAATTTTTTAAAATGTTTTTAAAAAATATAAATGATTATTTAAAAAACCTGACATGGCATGAGGTACCCCATTTATGTAAAAAATCTAAAACTATCCCTATAAAGAAATAAAGAATTTAAACTACCCCTCTGTCGGAAAAAAAAAACTAAGGGAAACTATATGAGCATGTTTAGTAATGAGGAGAGAAGCTAAATCATCTTCTTTTCTATCTATAATGTTTCTCCATTCTGTCAGGGAACTTATAGGGTCAATTATATATATATATATATATATATGTAAAAGAAAAGTAGAGGAAATGAAATTTATGATGCAAGTCAAGGATCAACTGTGAACATATCAATTACTGATAGTTAAATTCCTTGGTTAAACCTTTTGTAGCTGAAAACCTGTGCAAGTCCTGAATTCGATTGAGCATTTCCTCTAGTTGCTTAGAGAAATTAAACCTGTGCATGCCTTGAATTCAATTTAGCATTTCCTCTAGTTGCTTAGAGAAATTATTTATGAATTTTAAGAAGGAATGATTCTTGTCTCTGAAGGTTTAGTGCTTGTAAAGTTGTGAATAATTTTGAAAAAATGGTTACTACTATGAGATTAGCCTTGACTTTCTAAATTTGCTTCTATTAAGTGAATGAAGATGCAAATGATTGGTTGAAGCAAAGGATGGCAAAACACAGTTCCAAGGCAGAGGATAAAACAGAGTCCTAAGGCAATGCCAAAACTCCAAATGAAGCAATTTAAGGTACCAGCCAAAATTTTACTTGTTACTATTTACATTTTAATACAACTGTTCTTTATATATTAAGTTGCTAAATAATGGTTCTATGATGAAATCGAACCGAAGCCATTTTAGTTTCCTTGCTATCTTTGAATATGAATGACATACAGAAAGCCAAAAAGATTTTCATCTGCTTCATGGCGTAGAAAATGGTACAAAATCTTAGATTAGCTTTTGTAGTTATTAATGAAAGATTATTCTATGTACTTCTGGGTTGTTATATGGAAGATTTTAGGCATCTTATTAGATAAACTCAATAAATTTCTATGTTAAATCATCTGAAATTGGTCTTCTCAGTTTCATGTCAATATATGTTTGATTAGCAATGACAAACTTTTCTAAAAGTTGTCAAATAATGTTGTTTGCATACAATTGTAAAGTCTGATTTGCAAGTACTTGGCACTGTTTATTGGAAAAGAAGATGCAAAATTACCCGTTGGTCCAAGTAAAGCAGGGAAAAAGACACAGACTCAACGGGCAATGTTAAAAATTCAAATGAACACAATATTGTGTTTGGCCATATTACCATTCTGAGATAGAATTCAGCTGTAATTTATTTCTTACATCACATCTTTTGGCTGAAATTTCTCTACTTCTTTGACAAAACATTATTCTTCATTTTATTTGGGTATTTGTAATAGGAAAGTCAATCACTCTCTATTTTGGTATCATTACAGGAGGAGGTTACATCTTGGTTGCTTTTGAGATATGGTCAAGCTCAAGCTGCATATAGATTCTTGATACTTAGAAAGAGGTAATGGTGGGTGGTGCTTTAAGTGTTGAAGGGACATCTTTCAACAATTTTCTTTTGATTTATAGTTTTAATATTTAACCTTTTTGATGCTTAATTGTCTTTTCTTTTTTTTTTTATTGAAAACTCTTGAGGATTGCCCTAGTTGGGCGGAAATTAAGATATGTTATTTTTGCTTTGAGGTAGACTCTCATTATTGCAATGGATATTATAAATCAAACAATGAGAGCTTGAGTACTTACTGCATTCTTAACTAGCTATGTTTAAAATAGTGTGATCTGATGGGATAGGGATTTAGTACTTCTTATGCTGACTCCACTTAGGAAATTACAAGCCTTTGTTACAGCATCTTCATTTTCTAAGAATAGTAGTTATATAATTATTAAATTGATAATAAGCATTTTGCGAGTATAAATTGTTACGAGAACCTAATCAAACACAGATGGCCAACTAGCTTCTGATGTCAGAATTTTCATTGCAAGTGATTCTGCATATTGAATTGCTAGTATTTTTATTTTAACCACTACAACTATGCTGAGTAGAAATTGTTTAAGCAGATTGTCATTACATTAGTTAATGGTTTCACTTGCATTTGTGCCCATTTTCGACCAACATTGAATGAGCATTTTTCAATTAAAGATTATATACGATGTTGTTTTATTGCATCTTGCTATGCAGCTAAACCAGAGGTAAAGAGATCAAATGCAATCCTAACAAGATCCAGCCCAGCTTTCCTCGCGATTCGACTAGGCTCACCTTGAAGCTGAGTTTGTCATTGCTATTATTCAAAGATGCTTGCACTGAGAAAGACAACGGTGAACATTAGTATATACTGACTACAATGGAAGTTTTAGCCCCGATGAGGTTGGAAAAGGAGCAGCCGTTGAGAAATTGGAAGCAAGGACAATAAGGATGCCATTTTCCCGACGTTGGTGAATCAATGATTGAATGAGATGGCTGATAATAGGAAAAGACCATGGTGACCCTTCTACTCAAATGAAACCAGGATGAAATTGAAGTTTTTGCAGTAATAGGAGGGATGACCAAGCCTTTAAAGAGCTTCAACTTTTCTTTGAGATTCTTTGCTTTATGCCTGGTGCTTCAACTGAGACTTCAAGGCACTACAAGTTCTCGACAAACCTGTCCTTTCTAGATCTTATTCATTATGGTTCATCATGAATTTTAACTATTTTAAGTTCTTCTGTGTCTTCCCCGAAACTATTATAGTATTTTTCTGTAATGAATGATCATTTTCTACCTTGTTATCGGCTCACTTTGTAGTATTCTTCAGTTTTTTTTTTGTTAAAATCTTTTGCTCGTTGAGATGTCTTAAAATTATTTTATTTAACATCTAAATTTTTTACCTTTTATATTTTCAAATTATTTTTCATGATTTTTTATTTTTTGAAATTAAAAATTATGGAATTTCACTTTTATAAAAATTTTAAAAATTTAATATTAAATGTAATAAAGTCAAAACATTTTTTTAAAATTTTATGAAAATAAAAAGGTCTCAAACAATATGAGATTGAAGAAATATTATATATGAATAATATAAAATAGTATTTTATTTTTAATAATTTTTTAAATAATGTAAAGATGAATGAATTTAGATAGGTTAAGTTAATAATCAGAGATGTCATTTGATTTATTTCATGAACACTTCTAATCTACCTGATTTACAAATTAAAAAAAAAGAATTTCAATTTTTGTCAAAAAAAAAAAACTTCAAATCATATTTTTTTCAAATAACTGAAGTAAAATCAAACCGGAAATCATCCAAAGAAAATTGACCCTTTTAGAAAAAGAAAAATAAAATCTTTGGAGATTTTATTTACGAGAGGATAGGCTTCTCCAGTGTTTTAATTTGACCATGGTCATGCAGTTTGACCGTTAAAGAAACAACTGAAGAAATAAAAAATAATAATAAACTTGGTTTAGATTGTCGCCTCCGATTTTATAAAAACTGCTGTGTATTGGGATCCGTCCTGCTTTAATTGATACCATTTTGCTCCGTCATTCTCAAAATCACACAATCTTGCTTCCATGGCTTCCTCTCATCAACCAAAGCATGATGTTTTTCTCAGTTTCAGTGGTGAAGACACTCGCAACAACTTCACCGCTTATTTATATCAAGCTTTGAGACGGAAAGGGATCGCCGTCTTCATGGACGAAAACGAATTGAAAAAGGGGCAGAAACTGTCTCCGGCACTGTTGAAAGCAATCGAGGAATCAAGGATCTCGGTAATTATTTTCTCAACAAACTATGCTTGTTCATCATGGTGCTTGCAAGAACTTTTCAAGATCATGGAACTGAACCGTGCCAACAAACAAGAAGTAGTGCCTATCTTCTACCATGTTAGTCCGTCCGATGTTCGAAAACGTACTGGGAGTTTTGAAAAAGCTTTTGCTGATCATCAAGAAAAGTGGGCATACAAATTGCAAGGGTGGAAAGATGCTTTTACTGAAGCAGGCTATATAAAGGGGTGGCATATAGTGGGAGATAAATCTGACAGGTAACAAATCTTCTCAATCCTCTTGATATTTTTTATATTAATTTTAATTTTTGTAGTTTATAACGGAAAATTTCGTCGCTAAAACCTGATTTCCGTCCAAAAAAATATTGATTTTAGTCCATTCATTTTATGTATTTGTTAGATCCGAGCCTGATTACATGGAGAAAATTGTTGAAGATATTATAAAGGAGTTGCATTGCATGTCTCCAAGTGATGCTAAAGGATTGGTTGGAATAGATTCTCACAAAGAGCGAATTATATCTTTGTTAGCCGTTAATGAGAAAGACATCCCAATGATAATAATAGGAATTTGGGGTATGGGTGGTATAGGCAAAACAACTCTTGCTCAAGCTATTTATGATGAAGTCTATGGTGAATTTGATAGCTGCTGTTTCCTTGCAAATGTCAAAGAGGAGTCAACAAAACGTGATGGAATCACTTCTCTACGAGATAAACTTCTTTCTATAATATTAGAAGAAGAAATCCCCAATACTGGCACTCCCAGAATAGGATCCACATTCTTGAATGATAGACTCCATCGAAAAAGGGTACTTGTTGTCCTTGATGACGTCAGTGATTTGGACCAATTAGAAATATTAGCAATCAGTCCTGATCGCTTGGGTTATGGAAGTAGAATTATAATAACATCTAGAGATAAACAAGTACTTAAGAATGGATCAGCTGATAGAATATATGAGGTTAAGGGATTAAAATATCCTAACTCACTTCATCTTTTTTCTCTATATGCCTTCAAGAAAAACCATCCTCCTGATGATTTTATGGATCTATCAAATAGAGTTTTGGAATATGCTAAAGGGGTTCCTATTGCTCTTAAGGTCTTGGGCTCTACACTTTATCAGAAGTGTGAAGAACAATGGGAAAGTGCATTAAATAAATTAAAGGAACATCCCAACCCAAAAATTCATAATCTATTGAAGATTAGTTTTGATGGATTGGATGACACAGAGAGGAGTATATTTCTTGATATCACATGCTTTTTTAAAGGGGAAAAGACTAAGGTTGTTGCAAAAATATTAAATAGTTGTTATAAAGGCGTGCTTTTTGGAATAAGCAACCTGGTTGATAAGTGCCTGGTTAATATTATAGAATCGGATGATACACTTTGGATGCATGATTTGCTACAAGAAATGGGTTGGAATATTGTTCGCCAAGAATCCAAAGAGCCTGGAGAACGCAGTAGGCTATGGACTCCTACAGATGTGTCTCGAGTTTTAAAACATGATATGGTAAGAGTTAAGAGCATTATCTTATTTTTACTTGTTCATAAATTAAATGATAAAAATTCTCTTATTTATACTTTATAATTTGTTGTTTGTGATAGGGGAGTAAATCAATTGAAGGGATATTGCTAGACATGCATGGAATTGATGAAATACAATTACATCAAGATGTTTTTGCAAAGATGCATGATCTCAGGTTTATCAAATTCTATTATTCTCAGTTTTGTGGAAAGGAAGGTAAATCACTGCTTTCAGAGCAGGATCTTAAATCTCTTCCAGGTGAGCTCAGTTATTTTCAGTGGGAGTATTGCCCGTTGAAATCTTTGCCATCAAATTTTAGTCCTGAGAAGCTCGTGGAATTAAGATTACCGAATAGTAACTTCAAACAACTTTGGGCAAAAGATCAGGTATATATACTTTAATATTGTGCTCATCCAAAAAGAAAACATAATTCATTTCTTTTCTTTTTTTTTTCCATTTTTGAGTAAAACTATAAATTTAATTACAGACTTTAAATTGATGTAGTTATTCTTTATTTTTATCCTACAGAATCTTGTGAATTTAAGAGCTATTGACCTCCGAAATTGCAAGAATTTAACAAAGATCCCAGATCTGTCGAGAGCCATAAACCTTGAAGAATTGGAGGTTAGTGGGTGCATAAGCTTGGTTGAGCTTCCATGCATGGTTCATTTGAAATTTCTTGAAAATCTCTGTCTTAGTGACTGCCCAATCACAATATTTCCAGAAATTCCTAGAACCATAAAGACATTAAACTTGAGTGGGACTCAAATAGAAGAAGTGCCTTCATCAATTGAGTGTCTCAGAGAACTTGCTTCCTTACAAATGAGCCATACACGAATTAAAAATCTTCCTAGTACTGTTGTTAAGATGAATTCCCTTAGAACAATCTGTCTCTCTCATTGCCCAAACGTTACTTGTTTTCCAAATGTTTCAGAGAACATAAAAGACTTAATTTTGAGCAATACTCAAATCAAAGAGGTGCCTTCATCAATCAGTTGTCTCAAAGAACTTGCCCTTTTAGATATGAGTGGCACAAGAATTGAAAATCTTCCAAGCACTATTGTAAATATGGAGTTCCTAAAAGCAATCCATCTCCGTCATTGCCCAAACATCACCCAGTTTCCAAATGTTTCGAGCAACATCAAAATCTTATTACTGGACAACACAGCAATAGTAGGAGTGCCCTTATCAATTGCTAGGCTTGAAAGCCTGTCCATGTTGAGTATGAATGACTGTACAAGGATTAAAAGCTTTCCAACATGTATTTGCAAGCTGAAATGTCTTCGACAACTTTGTCTCCTAGGCTGTTCAAATTTAGAGACTTTCCCAGAAATAGTGGAGACTATGCAACATCTAACTGAGCTTGCTTGTTTGAAAAGATTAAGTATAATAGTGTCACCCATCTTGAACGACCACATATTTCGTGTGAGGTGCAATAGAAACTTGAATGTTCTGAGTGTCGTGCTTAGCAGTAGCTTTAGCAAATTTCATGTTTTGACAACTCTAGATCTGAGTGGGTCAAATATAGTAAAAATTCCCATGAGCATCCAACAACTTCCCAATCTAATTTCTCTTTACTTAAAATGTTGCAAGAGCCTTATAGTATTGCCTGAGCTTCCACTATGTCTACAAAACCTAAATGCACATGACTGTACTTCATTAGAACTGGTGTTGAGCAGAAGACAGTTTTGGGAGAATTCTTGCCTACTCCACATGTTATTTAGTAATTGCTTTGATTTGGATCAAGATGTAGTCGACAAAATAGTGGCCAATGCACATCTTAGACTTCAATGCATGGTAGAGGAATGGGTGAAAGAAAGGTCAAGGGGATTTTATGAAATAGTACCCGATAATATTCTTGATAGAGTTGTTGCCAGTAGTGAAATTTCAGAAAGGTTTGAGTACCGAGGCATGGATTCTTCAATAACTATCAAGCTGTGTCCAAATTGGCAGAGTGAGAGATTCTTGTGTTTTGTTCCATCTGTTGTGGTTGATTTCAAGGTCAATTATGAAGACATTGGTGTTCAAATTGTTTGCGAAATTCGGCTAAAAACCAAATTTGGTGATTGTCATAATTTTAGAAGTAGATGGACTTCACCTATGTATTATGATGAGCCCATGTTCTTTGAGTCCAATAACATGATCATTTGGTTTGATAAGAATATGTTTCAAAAAGACAAGCACTATGAGGAGGCCTCGTTTGAATTCTACATCACAGCTAAAGATGATGGAAGGCGTGTAGATCATATCAAGGTGGAGAAATGTGGTGTTCATGTATTTTATGTGGATGCTGAGTGTTATACTGAGTGCAATGTCGAATCCAACAAAAATTTCAGCTCTAGTGAAGAGAAGAGGAAACCGCCCCTTCAGTTTTTGGAATCAAGTTATGGAATTTCTGCTTGCTTGCCACGCACTCAAGATGATGTGGACAGATGCAATCCTAAAATGATACAACGCCAGCCAAACTCCCCGATTCATTCAAATTGGCTCTCAATAAAAGGAAGCAGTCTAAATTTTGGCAGATTAATACATCAAGAAAGTGTCAATTTTGACAATGGCCATGATGATCCCACTATCACAAAAGGACATTGGAGCAGTGGAAGTTTCAGCTTTGATGATGAGGCTGATGATGAGATTGAACAAGATCAAAAAAGATTGAAGCTTTTTCATCTCTTTTGATCAAATTTCTGCTTTATGCATCTAATTAACAAGGCCAAGGTTGATTTCAAGGAGAAGTAAGTTCACTTAATCCATTAGTTTCTATTTTATATTTGCTTGAAAGTAACATAAATTATGTAAAATTTTTGGTTTTGTTGGTTTTATGTTGTTAATTGCTGTTTTCCTGTATTTCCTGGGTACTAGTTGATTTCTGATTTCTATGATGAAGTTTGATTACCACATTTATGTCAGCCAGGTAAACCTTCAATTGATCCTCCCTAAACGTTTATTTGCATGACTTGTATGTGTTTGGTTTTGCTTTATCTTGATATAGGTGTTAATTAGTTGATACCTTCCTTAGGATCACTAAAACCATTTGGGAATGCAAAAGAATAGTCTGATCTGATACCGTTGAACTTGTAAATATTGGTGTTTCCATTATGTTTGTCATTACCAGAAAAAATTCTCAGCAAAATATTTTTCTCTTGGATTTAAAATCGAGGTTGGGACAAATAAAAATTTTTTTTCTCACATTAGAACGCCTACCTTTTTCCTAAATTACAGTGGTTAACTTGAATATGACTTGATATATGTTATGACGTTATCAAGGTAGAGAATCGACATCCCCTGCAGCAGGGTATTATCACTGGATGGTCCAATATTTAGCTTCTATAATTATGCAATACTGGAAGTTTATGTTCTTTCCTTTAACTTTCATGTGGTCTTCAATTTAAATGCTGCACATTGTATAATGTCAATGTGGTAGAAAGAACACAAACACCAACATTAAGAATAGGGAGAGTTAAACTAAAATACTAAAAGAAAGGCAACTAATTCAGCATGTTTAGTATTGAGGACTAGTGGTGCCAATATCTTGTTTACATCCATTATGTCTTTCTCCTTTCACCCATGGAAAAGACAGTTACAAAAAGGAGCTGAAAGAATGAAACATAAATGAAAAATGGTCGGGTAAAGTGTGAATATATTGATTACTGATAGAGGAGGTCCTTGGTTTAACATTTGTAGTACGAAAACCAACAATTTGTCCTTTTTTTTTTTTTTATAATTAAGGTTGTTAAGGATTGAACCTGGTTACTGGAACTAAAAGTCGAACACTCTACCAACAGACCATGTGGCTATGGGCGGAAAACCAACAATTTGATTATGCATTTCCCTTAAGTACTTGAAGAAACTGCACTTCTTCATATTATATTTTTCTCTGAAGTTTTAACACTTGATTGTAGAACTAGCGAATAATTTTGAAAAGTTGGTCACAGCCTTGAGGTTAGCATTGACTTTTTAAATTTGCTACTATGAAGGGAATGAAGATGCAAGTGATTGTTCTAAGGAAAGCAGATTAGAAAACAGAGAGTTTAGGGAACGCTTGATAATAGGAAAGGCCTTGATACCACTGCAGAATGAAGTTTACTGATCGTTTACTTCATACTTGTGTCTGGACTGAGACTTTGAGGCAATCGTAAGTCACTTTTTGAAGCTCTTTCTGGTTTTTGGACTTTTTGAGGCACCATGACTCCTGGCGTTTCTGTCTTTACTTGAGAGTGTAGGTCACCTTTGACTTGTTATGATTTATTTAGTTTGGTGTTTCCTCCAGATATCATCAAAGGATTATGTATGATGATCATGATGCTATATTTCAGAATTAGTGAAAGTTGCTCTGTTTTGGAAACTCATGGAATGAACCTGGAGTTGGTTATTGGTATATTTTGAATTGCAATCTTTTACAGTTTCTTTCTCCAGCTAGTTTGGTGTGCTTATATTTATCCCACATGGAGGGGAAGGATTTGGAACTTGAGATTTAGCCCAGTCAATTCATGTATAGGACAAAAAAAAAAATTAGGTCTTTTAATGAATAAAAAAAAAAAAAAAGATAAGTCATCTATAGGACAAAAAGGAGAAATATAAAGAGAAAGAAAATTTTAAAATAGATTTTCTTTTCCATTTATCACATTGTGTTGGTCAATTTTTTTTTTTTTTTTGGCTAGATATTGGTTGATAATTTGAAGATGAAGTTTATTAACTATTTGATGGCACTATCTATGATCACAAACCAATATAATTTTATTATAAATTTCTGCACCATTTTTTCTGTTTTCATTTCCCCTTGATTTTTTTTTTCTTTTTTTTTTGGGATAAGCTAAAATTTTGTTTATCCAAAGACCAGGAAATCCTGCTGCAGTTGGGCAACATACTGCTAGAAACAGAAAAAAATAAACTAATCCCAGACAATATGGCTGTAGCTACCAAGCTGCCATCTGATTGGATCAGGTCAGCAATGCCCTTAAAAGTTTCTGAAACGGAAACAGGCTTGTGACCAAATAGCCTGTTGTTCATCTCCCTCCATGTGTGGTTTATAGCTGCATTCCAGGCTATGCATAGGAGAACTGCAACGAAGGACTTACTTGCCTTTTAAGTTTCCATTTGGCCCAAGTGAATTGTGAATGCCAATCCCCCATTGTCTGTGAATCCCCGATAGAAAAAGAATCCTCTGCCAGGTATCCCTTGAGAAGGCACAAGAGAAGAAAAGATGGTCTCTTGACTCCATTTCCGCACTGCACAGTAAGCAATGTCTCCTCGCACGTTTCCCTCTCACCTTGACTCTTTGTTTCTGATCATTCAATCCTGTTTCTTCTCCTCTTCTCTTCTTTCTCTCAGCTCATCTAATCAGGTAAAAAAAAAAGGCTAACCTTCCAATATCATGACTGCTAGCTAATTTGGTTTTGCGGTTGACTAGTTATGGCTTGATTGTGAGCTTTATTCGGATTCATTGCTTGGGTTTTGGAAACAAATGGTGGTTTTAGCCGCCTAGGTCTAATCATATTGTATGTCAATGGTCACTGCATTTTGCTTTGATGATCATTTAGTTTGTCTATGATATGATTTTTGACATCATTTAAGATAATTATAAATGATGCTTGCTGCTATTTCCTGAATTTTCTTATTCCGAAACCAAACTTTTTATCTGGCTTTTCGAGACGAACATCCGGACAGACAAAGTGGTAACAAAAATGAAGACATGGGATAGAAAAAAGATTCCTTTTAAAGCTCCTTTTCTCCTCAGCAGCTGTCTTTGTTACAAAAAATAAGACATGAGATAGGCTTCTTCATTCAATTTTTTGTAGAAATTTATGTTTCATTCCAACTAATTAAAAAAAAAAATTTTCTGGGCCACAACTTGTAGAACTTAAAGTCAACCTAAATTCCAGTATACATATTTAACTACTGTATCAAATATATGTAACAAAATCATCATATCAAAATATCAAAATTCATATGAATACATCAAATATAAAATATATATTTTATTTTTATTAAATTAATATATAATTTTTGTTAAAATTTTATACCGTATTATTTTTATGTAACCTAAATCTTCATGTAACATAATCATTTCAGTGTTTAAATTTGTTTGGTCTAATCAATGGTGGTCTGTTTTTCTTCACTTTTGTCTCTCGCTCCTTATTCACTGGTAGGAAGGTATCAACCTCATGAGAAATATAGACCTATGAGTGTCAAGATTATGAGCTAATGAAAAGAATTAGTATTATATTCTATAACCTAATATGTTTTTTTATTTTTTCGGCTAATATATGTTCAAAAAGGAATATCAGGAATCAGGTTTTAAGTGTTCAGATGAAAGAGACTGAGTGCTTATGCCAACTGCTTCAAAAAGATAGTTGGTTGAATGAAACTTCCTTCAGTAGGGAATCCGAAATGACGGCACAGCACAAGCCGCCCTACCTCCGGAGGCTCCGCTTTGCCGCAGATCCACTCTGGTTTCGTCCCGAACCTCTCCTTTACCCATCCTCTTTGATTCAGAATATGAACATGAAATATACAAACTTTGCAAGCAAATTACAAGGTTATAAAACCCAAGTTATTCCCTATCGAGACATCAACATGAAAAGATAATTACATCTTCAGCCCCTCCAAACAAAAGCCCTAAAGTTTCATTGAACATGGCACCATACGTGCATGCATGAAAATTCCAAAATCATACAAGGACAAGCCTCCAACAACTGTTGTCACTTGAAAGATGAAAATCAATACAGCCAAATCAATCACGGGGCATTTTCAATTCAACATTATCATAGCAAATTGAAACCTCTGTCAATTTAAACATAACACAATAAAACAATATGATCAAAAAAAAAAAAAATACACGAGGACAACGTGATTAAAAATTTTAATAAAAATTGTGTATGAATTTGACAAAAAATTAAAAAAAAAGTGTTTCATGTTAAATATGTCGATACGAATTGTGATACCGTAATTTTTATATTTTGCATATATTTGACATGAAATAGACAGATATGGATACATGAATTATCAAGGTTATAATAAACTATTTCATTTTATAAAAATATTAATTGAAAAAACACATAAATAAGGTTCATGCATGTGTTGGCATACAGACGTGTCTTTCCGCATACTAACTCATAGATAAAAGGTGATAGCATGGGGCAGTAAAATTATGGATTTATTAACTCAAAGGACAACCAATTAAGATAACACAATCCCCTGATTAAATTGATTTCCTATTTTCACTCTAAAACATGGCTAATAAACATTAAGATTTTTTCCTACCACCCAAACAACCCCTATTGACCAATCAAAAAAAAAAAAAAAGGTGGAACAAAATACAACCTCAATTAGTAGTCTGATCTTTCCCCTACTCAGACAGCAGTAGCTGTGGGCCTGAAACAACCAACATTGCACAATCCAACAGATCTCATCATCTCCCCAAAGCTGCATCAGATTTCAATTCTAAAAGTCAATCAAACCAGTATTGTTTACACTCCTGCCATCATAAGGACATAACTAATACAGAAAACAATAAAACAGGGAATATAAAGGCAAAAGAATTGGTAGCATGAATTCAAACTAACCGATCAATGCTGTTCCTTGCTTTCTCAGGTGGGTCCGAGCCATTGCAGAATTTGCCAGGCCGATCCACGCTCTTTCTTGATTTTTCTCTCTTATCAGTGCTGGTTATTCCTTTTTCTCTACAATCAGTGCTTAACTGTGGCATTTCTCTTTGGCCAGTACTAGCCCAAAACGTTTCTCTCTGATCTGTGCTTGGTCTCGATGTCTCCCTAAAATCTGTGCTGTTCCGTGGCTTATCTGGTTGATCAGGAAGTGGGGCAGAACCTTTTCTTAGATCAGATTTCTCTATGGCTGAAATGAATTTTTTGAGATGCTTGATGTATTGTGGATATAGTTCCAAGTCACAATGATTCCCTCCTTTAACCCATAAAGGTTCATATTTCTCTTTACAAAGTTCCCAAAGCTGCTTACCATGGGACCAATCCACAACATCATCAGCAGTCCCCTGGAATGCAACAAAAACATATAAATAATGGTTGTATAATGAGCATACTTCTGAAAACATTAACGATACATTCCAAGTTTACAAATGTCAATAGCATCAACATACAGCAATCATTTTGAGGATAAGTGTCACTTATTAACAAGATGTCTGCCAACAGCAAATCATAACCTACTTGTGTTTCTAGTCACTAACAAGATATTTGAAGGCTTGGAGAACATTATTGACAAATAGACACAAGATCTTGCCTCCGATCACATTATTTACGAACACCATATATGGATACATGTGTCTTAGAATTCTAGATAGACACCATGAAGTCATCAAGCAATTGGCACCATGTAGGAAAACCATGATAAGGCATTGGAGAGTCAACCTCAAATTCATGATCTACCGAGCACTAAGAAAAGGGTAAAACTTAAGAAAAAGAAACAGTTTTATGCAAAGCATTGGAAAACAGTAGGAAGCAAGAAGGATTGAGGAAGATATTTTTCAAATTGCCAAAGGTCTATTATATGCTAAAAATGAGTTTGGATGAGGTATTTCCATTGAGAAAAGAAAAATCACAGCAACTTAAAACCAGCAATTCAAATACTAGAAATTATAAATTGGACATTTAAGTTAGGGCTTCCTCAAATTGGGATATTGTATTTCAATGCCTGAAAAACAGTATCATTTAGATGAAGCTGACACTGTAGAATTTGAAATCTTTTTAAAAATATGCAGTATTTCAAAAAGATCTGTGGATTTTCCAATTCCCCCATCCAAACACACCCTAACTAAGTCTCCATATGGTCTGGTAAAAGAGCAAGTGACCTTAAGGCTTCAAAATTTATTCATAGCATTTGCATACATGAACAAAAGTAATTTAATATAAAATCCAGTAGCTGTAGTAGGTCTCATACTTGTTACGCAGCCAACAAGTGGAAACACATAAACCATAAGAAGCATATGAGCTCCTATGTGATCATTTGTTAGAATGGTAACCCAAGATCAAACACATAAAGCTTAGGAACTAGAAATATGCATAGCCCAAAATGAAATAATTAGAAACTTGAAAAAAGAAATGCATGCAAAGCAAATTTATAGCAACAGTTGCTGCAGTACCAATGCTCCGTCAACCACTGTTTTCCATTTCTTTAAAATTTGAACAGCAGTCGCTTTTATGTGATCAAACCATGTCATAACATGCAAACTTTTACAAATATGGAACAACTACAAAGTGTAAATCATTACAAACAAATCAAAGAAATACTCACATGGAGTACCAGAACAGGACAATTGACAAACGGTATTTTGTCGATATTCTGCATCATGAACAGGGAAAGAAACATTAAGATAGAATAGTTGCCAAAAGATAATGTAAAAGGTTAAGACATTAAGTTATATAAATGTGCATGGAAAATTGGAAAGAACCTTATATATGTCAAACCAGTAAGTATTCTTCACTGGATACAATACTCTTAGACCAGACAAGATTGGGCTGTGAAGTACCACAGCCCTCAATTTAGGTAACCGAGTTGCCAAATCTAGAGTCGGTCCACTCCCAACCGATTGACCATATAAGATAACATCTTCCTCCTTCACTCCATAATTTTCCCCAAGACATCTATATACAGCTTCTATGTCAGCATAGGTGTTCTGTTCAGTTGGCTGTCAGGGAAATTGAAAAATAAGAAAAGATATAAAAACGCACAACTCAATGATACTCTACAAATTCTCCAACAAAAAGTTCTTCAAAAATAAATAAATAAATAAATACTTGAGTTGGCTGCAGAGAAAATTGTAGAAATATAGATGAAACTATATGCTTTATTATTAGGCTTTTTTAATTTACAAAGCTAAGAACTGAACCAAATCAAATAACTGCACTAAGTATTACAATATTGCTTTCTTTGCAGAATAATTCAAGGAACTAATTCTTTGTTTCAGATCATGAATATGAAAGCATGAATATGAATTTGGTTTGTTATAAATACTTTGTAACATAGACATTATATATAAACAAATATAGATTTAACATATCTATTTACAAAAAAAAAAAGGGTAAACGTTTAACATGCATATGTACATAAGATAATATGAGAAAATGAACTTATAAAATTCAACTTTCTATTTACATATTTCGAATTCACTACTCTATATAGCCATAACAAATCCATGGAGATTACTATTACTATAATCGTGTTTTGCATAACAAATCCATATTTTTCAAATTCAAGTTCCCAAACACAACCTTAAAGAAAAAACTAAAATGTCTTAAATTCCAGATTCATCAAAATTTTCAATTTTCTAACAGCTGAAATATCAGTAAGCAAACATAGAAGCAAAGTGGTGACCAAGTAAAAATTGAAGACAGAAGCTCCTCCCCTCACAACTCCCCAACTTTCTCAATTACTATCTTACAAAATGAAAGATCCAATGTTGGAAAACTTCTTCCTTCACTCCACTCTTTCCTACCAACCAAACAAATAATTAATATAACAAAAAATAAAAATAAAATAACCAATATGTGGAAATACCTTCCCAGTTGACTGCCCATATCCAGAATAATCATACCTGCGAAAAGCATATAAATAAATAAATAAAAATGATCAATCAAGTAAAATGTCTCAGATTACGCTTTTTCAACTTACCCCAATAAGTTAACTCTGAGATGTAAACTGAGTTCACTGAAAAGATCATACATTTGGCCCAGATCAGCTGCATTACCGTGTGAGTAAAGCACAGTCAACACAGCTCTAGGGTTCTTTATATACACCGCCACCACCTGATTTCCTCTCTTAGTTCCCACCTTTAAAATGTCGACGTTCTCCCTCGCCACTACCCCATTCATCACCAGCTTCCCTCCACTCTCAACCACCGTATACGACGGTGGATTCGGCGGAAAAAACGCAAACTTCGCTGCCATCGTTGACGTCACACCTCCCATTATCAAAAATATATAAATAACAAGAAGCCTTTAGTTTGAGTTTCAAAATATTAACATTTCGTCAGTAGAAGCCAAAATAAAAAAAGAAAAGAAAATATTGATGGGTTTTCTTTGTTTTTTTTGTTTAAAAATGTAGAAATCAATTCAAACATTATTTACTTTCTGGTTTCTGTGAAGTGTTTGGGGAGGGAGAAAATGATGGATGTTTCAAAATATGAAAAATTTCAGTGAAAACAAAAAAAAAAAAAAATATTGATGGGATCCTTTTGTTTTATGTTTGCCTTAGGATTTTTCGAGTGTATGGGAGAGAAACTGAAAGAAAATATGGTGGTGTTGTTAGGGTCCAGAAGGAGGAAAATCCGGCGAGAAAAAGGAAGAACAGCACGTGTGGTGGAAGTAATAAGTAAAGAGAGAGGAGGGATAGAATGATGGTGACCGATGAAGTGCAAAGTGACACGTGTCCACGTAGGGCAAAGACTGGGGAAAAGTAAAAGCAAGGATCGATCATTGTTGCCAGCTTTTGATTTTGTTTTGGGGGTTTTGGACTTTGTTTTTGGTCGGATTGGATCTTTCAAAGTGTGCTAACGGCTGGAATTGGCTGTGCTGTCTTTGGTTTGGACATGTCCGTGGCGGTGATAGGGATTCAATGTTGTCCTTTTTTTCTTGGATTTGCATTTCTATTTAACTTTTTAATTTCTTTTCATCATTTGCAAAATAAAAATATTATCATAAATTTTAATTTTATATATTACAATTTTTCATATTTTACGTTAAAAGACTTAAAGATTATTTTACTATATTATTTTAAATTATAATTAGGTTACTGAATTTGAAATAAAAAATATTATGCTACTGTAATAATTGTACTACATCACAAGTTTATATAACATGATGTTCATAATTTGTTTTTAATTAAATTAATTGATCAAATATTAAATTAATTTTAATCGATTATTATAAAAAAAAATCTTAATTTGTCGTTAATTTATTTAAATGATCAAACTAATCAAAATTTTAATTGAATATATATAACTTGAAAATAAAATTAAAAATACATGAAACAAATTGTTTCATTTTATTAGTTGTTAAAGATTTCACTTAATATTTTAGTATTTAAATATTTTATTTGATAATTTTATTCGGCTTGTTATAAATATGAGAAATTAAAATTTTAAAATATAATTTAAATTAAATATATTTTATTATTGGATTAATATTAAATTTTATTAATTAAAATTTTGAAATTAATAAATTCAATTTAATTAATAAAAATAAAATATCATAATTTAATTAATTTAATTTTAAATAATTTAATTTAAAATTAATTGAATTATTCGAATGAACATAGCTAATCTTCATGTCGAAGATTCAAACGCATATTTAAAAATAAAATGTAGCATATGGTATGTACACGATTTTCTTCAGATTTCTCGTGCTTTTACAGAAAATAAGCTGGTCTAGTTCTAGGCCTTCCATTCAAAGGTGATTCAGTACTGAATTTTTTTTTTTTTCATGGAAGTTTTTTTCTGAAAAATAAAGGGTATTTGTATGTCGAATTTAAGTCATTTACCATTGTCTAGTGCCTTTAAACCCACTATAAATATATTAGTAGTTAGGACATCAAATTTTTTAAATTATTTTAATGCCCTAAGGAAATTATGTCATCACTTTTTTTTTTTTGAATATTTGAAGCCATAATGAAAATTGTTTTCATTGGAATCCAAAATTTACAACCTATTATAAATTTTCTTTAGTATTCAATCAAAGGGTTGTTGGTCCGATTGTTGTTTAAGTATGTTTCTAGTAGATCCATGTCGCATTAAATGCCATCAATAAATGGCTAAAATTAATTGAAAAGACCAAACGGTTCTAGCAGTGTTGACTCCCTGACGAGCTAATATTTTGTAGATTTTCAGTGGCGTTTCGTCCCTCCAAATTTCATTTTTAATTTTTCCTTCATTTAGTCTTTGCCATTTGGTGTTGCCTTTTTTTTTCTTTTTTATGTTACATATTAAGATGAGGTACATTAATTTCATAGTAAATTAGATAGGCGAAATGTCAATCAAAGTTAATATTTATTCAAAGATGCACTCAAAATGCATGCTTCACAGCCTAAATGGGAAAAAATATTCTTGCATTATAATAAAAATAAATTGAAAATAAATTAATAAAAATGTTAAAAAAAGAAATTATAATTAAATTTAGTTATTCATGTTATCATTTTTAAAAAGTAATTGTTAATGGATCTGAAATTAAAATCTTAATGCTACATATTTTTTCTCTATTCTGAAATTTTGATTTTTTTATATAAAAAATAATGAAACCATTTTTAAATCCATTATATATTTATACATAACAAATCTAATTTTTTTAAATATATATCAATCTGAGTTCTTAATCGAATTAAACAACAAATAATTAAGTATGGTTACTTATCCGAGTAAATTGCATTCAAGACTAGTACACGCAAAATCACATTAAATTTTTTTGGCCACTACAAGATCACCTTATACTTAGAGAGCCTCATGTTCTAATACATTTATTTTACCTTATATTCTCCCTTTCTTACTATATATTAATTTATTGATCAAGTTATATAAGTTGGCAAAAAAAAATTAAGTTATATAAGGAATAATTATTTTTGTTATTTTTTACAACTCTCGCCAATTAAATTATGAATATAACTTCTTAAAGTGAGAAAATTTTTATTTATATTAGTGTAATTCTTACACTTTTTATATCTTTCGATCAAAATTATTAAATTTAAAAATATTATTTTGATTCAAATGGCTCATAAATTTAAATTTAATTTTCTTTTTAAATAAAAAATATATTGCATATATAGTTATTGGGAGCATGGTTATCAAAATCGAACCGAACATTAAATTGTTTAAAGTTTTAAGTTACCAGATTAATGGTTCAACCATCGAATCAATTAAATCAATTGTCGATTTAATAAAATACATTACAAAAAATATAAATATTTTAAAATTCAAACTTTTAACTCAAATTATAATTTAATAATTCAACCATAAAACTATATAGTTTAAGATATATAATAAATTACAAATTTTAAAATATAAATTTCATAGAACAATTAATTACTGTTAGAAATAAAATTACTTAACATTTTATTAAAATCATAATTTATATTTTAATAATTAGAAATAATATTTATATTTTAATAAATATAATAAATAATAACTAATAAATTATTATTATTATCATTTATTAAAATATAAAATATTATTTATTAATATATAATAATTAATCTTTTTGTAATAAAAAAAGAAATATCTATATATAAAATTAATAAAACAGAAATATTTATATTTATATGAAAATTAGTAAAAAGGAAATTAAAATCATTTTCATATTTTTTATCTGAATGTAGATTTTTTTATTAATTATTTTATATCATGGTCAAATAATTAATCATTTTTATGAACATTTAATTTTTTTATTAATTTTATATATTATTAATTTTATAATTATTTTTAATTATGATATCAATTAATAAAATTATTATTAGATCATCTTTTTTAAAAAATTGTTTATTTTACACCTGTTTAAGTTTTTTTTTTTTTTGCAATTCATATCTACATATCTCAAAATATATCAACATATCATTAATATAAATTTATAAAGACTTTGATAGCAAAAAATAAAAGTTGGGAGACTTATTTAAATAAAATAGTAGTATAAAGACTTAATTAGATTATTTTGAATATTTGAAAGGTTTTTTTTATATATTTTACTTAAATTTATTAATTAGATATTGAATCATTCAAGTTAAAAAATATATCGGATCTATTAATTTATTATATAAATCATCGATTCACAATAATTTAAAGTGATTTAATTATATAATTAGTTTAATTACAAATTTGGTTCAGTTTTAATATCAATTTATTGATTCACTAAATCAGACTAACGGATTGATCTGTTCTAATAACTATGACAGGGAGATAAAAAAGTTTTATTGAAGTGGCTTCCCTTGAGATGAAAGTGTCAATATTTATATAATTTTAGAAAAATAGAATTACAAGTTGCTGGGCACTATAGCACCTCGCCCACAATTTTTTATTTTTTCATAATGCAATAATACATATCCTTTAGAAAATTTAGCTGCCGAAAGTGAGAAATAAATATCCCAATAAAATTAATAAGTAGTTAGTTCAATTGATTAAGATAATTTTTTTTATGAAAAAATCTTAGATTTAAAGTTTGTCATTAATAATTTGTTGGGATCATATTAAATGTATGACATGCATCTATTTATTTTAAACTATTAAATATGATACATTTTATATTAACTTAAAGAACTGAATAATCTATCTATTCCCAAAATTTTCATTATTGTTTATTACCAAAAAAAAAAAATACCCCAAAGGAAAAGAAAAAGTAATTTTCTACCTTGAAAAATTCAATAATTTTATGCCTAATATTTGAAGCTAATTCACCCTTTTTTAATTTTATGTTCAAGAATGAACAGTACTTGCAGGCAAAAAGCAGATTCTTTTACTTATAAAAAATTAATTAGAGCTAGAAATTTATATATTAATTTCGTTTGCAGAGTTTAAAATAAACTCTATCAATGAAGTATTAGATAAAAAAAAAAATTTTTTATCTATAAAAAATTAATTACAGCATAATAGAAATTCATATATATATATATATGTGCATAAAATTCAACTAAAAAACTCTTAAGACATAAATTTTTTTTGCATAATTATAATGAGTTGGTTTTTATATACTAATTATCATGTTATCCGTGCAATGCATAGATTATTTTTATTTTATTTAAATTTAAATAAAAATAAAATTTAATATTATTAAATTATTTACATATTCAAAATATATGTAACATATAAATAATATAATTAAAATATCAAATCATAATAAAAATAAGGTTTTCTATTTAAATTCTGTTGAAGGTTACAAGAAATTTTTTGTTTCATAATAACAAAATTATCATAAGATTCATATATTATTTTTCAAGAATCTTAGTGAAATCTTTTAGGGTTCTGAGTTTTTTTAAATTAAGATATAAATAAACTTAAAATTAATACTATTTGTGAAACTATCTCAAAATTATTTCTTTTCAATTTTATTTTTTTATGAAAAATAATCTCTTGATTTGAAATTATGTTACATGTTTCACAATAGGGATATGAGTTGAGAAGTTATTCATTCTTTGAATGTACAACTGGCATATAAGTTTTTATTTAAGGCACATAACTCTATTATATCAATTAATTAGAGTATCATTTTTATTTTAGACGAATAGGGAATATTAAATAAATAATAAGTTAAAAGACAAAATATATTATCTGATTAAGTGAAGAATCTGCAAAAAAATAAAAGTTATGCAAACAACATTGGTAAAAATATAAGAATATGTATCTTTGTAGTTTTTTAAAAAAATTTATAGTTAGATAAAAAAAATTCCTACATGATGGAATGAATAATATGCTTAGTAAAATAATACTTATTACCTGATGAAATGAATAATATGTCTTGTGAAATAGTACCTATCTTTAGAAAAAGTATGTTAGTTCTTATGATAAGAATAGACTAATAAAAAGAAATACT